GTGCCAAACGGGATAGTAGCTTTAGCGTTCGCATCTCTTCAGCCTCCTCCGGCCGTGAGTTCTGATGTTTGAGTTGTTGTGCTCGGTAATTATGTCTTGGCCTCAAAATTGGGCATCGCGCATAACTTGCCAGCCGGTTGTGTTCGATGATTCACGCATGCAAAATCCAAGTGTCTCAACTGCCGCCAGGATCAGATACGTTCTGTCCTCCAGAATGTGCGGCCGAAACGGCAGGCAGATGCATCATTAGATCATTCGATGTCACTCCGTGGACTAGGAAAGGGTTCTGTACTAGGTTGGCTCTGTTTGACAACAACCTCCGGTTTGAATTTCAAGTCTGACCGCCGAGGGTCAGAGCTGTGGCCCTGTTTGGGACACGAGTCTTCTTCGGTAGGCAAGAGAATTGCCATACCGGGCCCTTCCACGGGTAGGGGTGCACGCTTCTTCAGCTTGAGAGCGTTGTGCAGACGCTGCTGTTTTCGGCCACCATGCCGCCGCGAATTGAGCGACTCGCAGCAGACTTCCTTGAGCATCCCGTGCGAATAACAGTGTTTCGCCTGCATATGGTCTTGAGACTTCCCTGAACTGTTTCAGCATGTTTGTGACTTGGATTCAGGGCCATTTAGGGTGTTTTCGGGATAGTCACTGGGTGGTGCCAAGTTACAAGTTTATGCGCACCACCCAAATTGATCTTCAAAGGACGTGGCGGCGTTGGTCAACAGATGGGCATTGAACAATCTCAACATCCTGCAAGGAAACCACGACTCTTTGATGGCTTTCGATTGAGACGCTGAAGATGCAGGGTGACACGACCCTTTGAACTTGGTAGGCTGGCAAGCTGTCAGTGCGCACCCGGTGTTTGAAGATCTCCTCGGCCTCAAAACCCCTCATAAGCAGATACCTTAGAGATGCATGGGTGAAGTGGCTGGATGGACCGGCAGGATGGATGGATGGGCAGATGGATAGGACAGAAGGGTACATGGACAACAGACAAACAGATACTTATGTAGATAGAAAGGTAGGTAAATAGACAGATACGTGGTCTGATGTGTTTCTGTATATCGCACAAATCTACGAATACAGTATAGATGTGCACAGATACTCATACATACACATATGCGCATGTGCAAGACACATTTCATACGGGTGACCCCGCAAGGTGGGCACTGCCGGGCAGGCTGCTGCCAACGTTCGCCAGCAGGTGCGCAGGTTGCATTCTGCATGCTCCTTTCACAGCCCCTCCTACCTCATCGCATACCCTCACATGGGTCAAGCCTATTCTCAGTCATAGTTGTGCTGACCAGTATGGCAGGGACTGCATCCCACGAGTTCTGGCTGTTGTGGGTCTCAAGAAGGTGCATCATGCAAAGAGAGCACAAGCACATACAAGCACTGCACGGAGGTCCAAACAGGCTTGGCGTTGGCCTTGGATTCAAAACGACGTACACGAATTCCCAGATGTGAAGCACAGACAGTGAGAGCCGCCACGATGTTGGGATCTCAGGTTTGGGTCCTCAACAGCGACGACCAAAAGTTTGGGTGGCTTCATGCCAGGGTGGACCAATTGCTGGCAAAGGGGCAAACCCTAGTGTTTGTCAAATCGAAGCAGGCCGCCCAGGACCGAAGAGAGCTTGCTGTCATGTATTTCTACGTGTCTTGAGACACCAACAGAAATAGGTTTCACGCATTCAGTACTGAGTACTGGGCTGCCGTACACTGATTGTCTCACGATGACAACTGTCGTGAGTCGGGTGCTATCAGCGTCTTCACGCTAAGACAAGAGTAGCCGAGCAAGCATCTTCAGTTGCATTTTCTGCTAATCCATCAGATTCAATAAACGATCGTAGTTCTCTATGTCACTATGTTGAAAAATGCTGTGACGGAATTCTCGCCCAAGACAGAATCTCGCCCTTCTCAGTAGCTCAAAGTGCTCCATGCTTTTCGAGCCGGGATGGACAGCAACGAGCAGACGCACACATTATTTCTTATTATATTATAGAAATTGGCAACAGGATCAGTGCTGCGATCCTCTTCAGCTAACTTTACGGCCGTCGTGAGACGAAGGAGCTCCAGCAGAAGTTCGCAGACGTTCAAAAGACCGCTGCTGTGCTTCATGGAGACTTGGAGCAAGACGAGCGCATGAGGGTGATAGACAACCTCCGGAAGCAGCGGGAGAGCCTTGGAAAGCATTCCAGTGCATCAATGCGTTGATCTGGGGTTGCGTTTTGGAAGTGATGCACTTTTCCTGGTGCTTCAGACCTTTGCTTGCCAAGGAACCTTCTGATAGCGACCGATGTCGCTGCCCGTGGCCTGGACATCACCACTATTCGCACAGTGGTTTCCTTCGATGTTGCCCGCGACATCGAGACCCACACGCATCGCCGCTCGTCTTCCAAGCCCGCTGCCATGCCTCCCCTTGCCTCACTGCTTTCGTCTGGCAATAACAAACGCGAGGCGACCCGAACGGGCTCCGAGCAAACAGCTACAAACTCCCAGGCGGTCAGCTAAGTTCAGAGCGATGCAGCCACATCGTGACAATGATTCGTGTAGTGCTTGTCATCACTATGTCTTTGCTGTACGACACTGTGGTCATACAAATCGTGAAGCTCGATCCAGGCTGATTTTTTCTTGCAGCATGTGCATTGGGATCCGCCCTTGCTGCAAGCAAGATTCAATAAGACTCAGTTTTAAGCCGTGCCGCAGAAAAGTCGACGATACACAACAGTAAGGAAACACCATGGGGCGACATCTTCATCCCGAAGTCCTAAACCCAATGAGCTTTGCATCCTCCCCCTCTTGGGCTCCGCACAGGAGTTGGTCGGACGGGCCGTGCAGGTGCCACCGGCGAGGCATTTGCACTGCTGAGCCGTGAGGCCCCGACGACTTCTACCTTCATTTTTGTTTACAATGCTTTTGGCGGCCGCATCTGCTATCAGACTGAAATATACTATAATTACGACAGGTATGAAGGGCACAGCCAGGGCCTCCGTCGCAGTCCTGTCTGAAACATAGGAACATGTTCAAGCAGCGTAGCTCAAGGGCCTGGAAGAGGGTTGTCGAGTTTGTGCTCATAATTTCTGATACACACTGCACATGCATTAGTTTACTTATATACATACCGGCTTACAGAGGCAGGTAGACGTACATATGTTTCATGTAGGTTCTTTACAGCATTGCTTGATTTCTGGAGAACTTGTGTTCGCCTCCTTCCATCCCTGCATGTCTCCATCTCCCTGTCCGGAGCCATAATGCCGTCTTAGATTATCTCATGGCTGAGATCCCAGGCTCCTCTTACATGCATCAGTACAGAATTACAGCCGAACAGGAGCAGTTTAGGATACTCTTCCGATGATGGGTATCGGAAGCCTCCCATTTTCGCATCGGTCTGACGCGTTGAATCGCGGTTCGCTCAAATGACCTCGAAATGCAGGCCAAAAAAGGCAAGGGTGAAGCGAATCACCGAAAGATGGCGGCTTTGCTCGTGGAGCACCTTGAGGACTGATGGAGGGCAGTTGTAGCATAACGAGGCGGGGCCCACTTAATCCGAGCAGGAGAGACATGCGACATTGCGTGTCGCCTTCCACGGCTTTCCTATGCAGGGTTGGGTTTTTTCGCTAGCCCCAGATCGCATTTGCCGAAAGAGAGGACGTGGGCCAGGAGTCCAGTGCAGAGCTTCTGGCAATGGCCACTCGGAGTCTTCAGGCCACTTTTACCAGGCTCTTAACGGTAAGGCTTAAGTCTTAAGTTGCTTTGAAAGCCCGTTGACGTCGAGGAATCCTTGAGAACTGGGGCACTGAAATCGAGCCTCAAGCTATTCTGAGCTGAAACCAGCATTCAAAGTTTTGCCTTGATTGAAGGGAAGCACGCTGCAAACCTTTATGAGGTCATGCTCGAAGCAATACCCAAAAACGTTGCACTGAGATTTTCGCAGCTAAGGCCATGGACTATCCCCCCTTCAAGGCTGCGCGGGCTGCCGGCCTGCGCTTCACCGGGGAGACCCCAAAGGGCCAAGGGTCAGGCGCCCAGTGACACCGAAGATCAGCTCGAAAACATGTCGAATAGCTCCTCGGAGGGTCCCGGTCCCACGAGCGCTATATAGTGCACTCATAATAAGTGCTTGGACGCGGTGGCGGCTAGCACAGCCAGCCGAGCTTACAGCATGGCGAGTTGCATCTAGAGCCTGCGGAAGCATGAACTACAGAGCACAGGCACAGTTTGCTTGTCAGCAAACTCTGGGTGCAAGCCTAAGCCTAAGCCCTAGGTTCTGCATAGTCTTTTCCTCTGACAGCATCAGAACTGATGGAGTTGCGCGCGCTGGGCCACCCTTGTTCAACTCACTGTACATAACATTGCTGACAGGCAAGTGCGTCGAGGTCGCAATAACAATGTTGCCAGAAGTCCTGAAGCCTGAGGCGCCCTGCGCAGCATACCAACGGTGATGCCCGGGACCGATCGCGGTCACGGCCCCCACACTCTGGCGAGTAGCTCGGGACACTGAGGCCGGTGTCTTTTCGCAGTTCACTGTCTGAGTGGCTCTGCCTACAAGTTGCCCTGTAACTTCACACGATAATTCGAGGGGCAGAGTTTGCTTGTGTGGCCGCGCAGATGCAGTGCAAGGTAGCAAAGCTGAACAATTTGTCCGGACACTTGCTGTAGGCTCCCTGTGCCGCAAGGCGACTTCATCACCGTCGCCAAGTGCCAGAGCCGCCAAAAATATGCAATAGAAATACTGCACTGCTGTCACTTCCATATAGAACACTCTTTGCGGAAGGTCAGATCTCCCGCAGAGCGGCTCAAAGCAGCCAAAGTCGCAGCAGAAACATGCAGCATTCTGAGGGCGCTGCTTGGCCGTTAGGCACAACTTGATACAGACCGTCGGTCAACCTCAAGCAAATAGACTCTCTCTACTTAATAGAGTCGTACTGCCAAGCCAAGCCAGCGGAGCACGTCTTCACCTGTATTTTCCACCAGCCGAGACGTCGGTTTTTTCCTCCTGAGCCATGGGGATACCACTGCCGGCATGTGTCATGTTCACGCTGTTTTGCCTGGCAGTACCCATCTTCATGTCTTATAACGGCTCCTCGGCTGCGGCCTAATGAAGATCCTAACGCCGTCGACGCTGTGTTGCCCGAAGTAGAATCCCCAAGATCCTGTCCCTCCCTGAGGCGGTGCGACAGCCGCAACTGTCGACACAATTCAGAAAGAAGGTCACTGGAGTCCGGCCGGGATAGGGCCGCGCAGCTGACATGTGATCTTATACTGCGAGCAGGTGAACAGGAGGATGCAATCGCTTCTGACGACTGCATGGGACAGTAGTTATCGGCTTTCGCATATCATACGGGCTACTGAGAAGCCGGCCGTGAGGCAGGCAGGAAAGTCCTATCTTGTTCTCAGTCGAGGCTGCTCGGAGCGATGGACAAGATTGGGATGACGAGTCTCGCCTCGATCGGCAACATTCGGCAACCCAGCATCCCCCTCGTTTCTGTCGCAGTTTTGACACTGGCACACAGCTCATGGCTGCCAGCTATCATCTTGACTGTACTTCTCCTGCGCCTCGTTCTCCGTTGCCACTTGCCTCTTCACATGGCTTTTTCTTTGCTTTCCTCCGCTTTTCGTATTTTGACTCGCGATGACAGAGGATCACGGGTACTTTTTCCTTGCAGGCTTCGAAGCACATAGGGATGTGAACTAGCGCTGGCAGTGGCATTGACATATTTGACATCCCATCTCTCTTGAACTGCTCGCACCGCCGAGGATGGCTGCAGCGTTCTGGGGCAACTCGGCAGACACCAAAAGCGGCTACGCACGGCATGCAGATGATTGATGGCAGACAATTAACCTAAAGGGACAGCTGGAACCTCGCACCCGGCGTCCTGCTTTCTGCATGAGTTGGAAGTCTAAGCCGCTGGCAAGGATATATGCTCCAGCGTGTTTCGTCCAAAAGGTTGCTCTGCGCAGGAGTGAGGGAGAGACATGCCGCGTGGGGCAGTTCCACGCGTCTTGAGTTGTAGACGTGTGGAAGGCTTCAGGAGTCAGCATGTGCCTGCCAAATTCGGGTCGGAAATAGCGGCACGCAAGTTTTGCCCTGTAGGTCTCTAACATCCTGAAGCTGAGCCAGCCAGTGGCTGCCACGAGCCATTTGTCTCCTTCCCTGCCTTCTCCGTGACCACGTCCCGCAGGACTCCTCGTCAACGCGACCTCCACTTTGATTTTTGCGACATTGAGGAACCCAATTACAATGTGCCTAGCGAAGTTGCTGACGCTCGGCCAAGCACATCTTCCACCATCCATCCGCGCCTAGGGTGTGGAAAACTCCGGGAGTGGATATGGTTGACCCATCCCGAGTTGCCCAGCTCCATAGAGGGCGTTGTTCTTTGTAGCTTAATTAGCCAGGGTATTGCCCCAAGTTGACTGAGGATCGGCTTTACGGAGAGCTTGCAGTGGGTGTGGTGCCCGCTCTGGATTGGCCAATGGGCTCCTCCGGCGTCACTACCTATCTGGATGAACCTGTCAGGAGAGAGCTGGTGTGGTTCATGCAACGTCGACCGTGATGCCACATTTGTTTATCGACTGGTTACCGTAATTGTCGAGAGGCTTGCATTGTTGCATCGGCCTGTCAGGAGGTGGCGTCGCATCAGGAGTGGGGAATGGTTTGGGCATCTCAGACTGCACTGAAGTGACCGCAGGCACCTTACAGTGTCCATCGGGTTCCCAATTTTGACACAGGAGTCGATCATTAGTATTAGTTTCATGTGAGGAGGATGGGTGTCGCTGCTGATTTGGTAGCCCCACGCATGTGAGAGGACCCGATGGTAAGCTAGCAAACTTACGAAGACGTTGGCCTTTCCCCTGTTCCTCGTTGTGCCAAAGGTTTTTGGGCTCCAGTGTTGTTGCAGGTACCATCATCGCCGGTTTCACCACGGCACAGGGATGCTCCTATGAACTTGCCTTCCAGATCGAGGCACCTCTCCGAAGATTCTGGTGCAATTGCTTTTGACTCGTTCCTTGAAGATGAGAAAGGGCCACTTTGGACAAAATGCTCCAGGGGGGCGGGCCCTCCACGCACGTGAACCTGCTTGACTCTCTAGCTTCACAGTCCGATTTCCGATTCCGGAGACGAATCTGAGGCGGGTGCCTTGTTTGCCCTCTGGCTGGCCTTGGCCCTGACGGATTGGCAAAAGTTTACGATTCGTGAGGACAGGCCCCTGGAGCCTTTCGCAGCTGGGCTTCCATTCGACTGCTGTGCTTCAGAAGGGTTTTCAGTTGCGCAAGATTTTGATGACTTTAGACTCATAAGCCGCCGGAAAAGATTTCACCGGTTGGCCACAATGCCATGCTGTCAGACGTGAGGAAGACATCACTCGGACTGTTTCAGCAAATGCACGAGCTGAACGCGGTTCAATGCTGGCAAGCTTGATCGCATCCAGTTTCCAGTCCATATGATCACCATCGCAGCATTATCAACATCTGTTTCTGAGAGCGTTTCATCGTCCTAGAGCATCCATGCCGGCGGCCTTACAAACATCCGGTTCAAACACGCGGTCAGCAGAGCATCGATCCTGGTAGTCTTTCTGGCATTCGCTTTCCGATTCTCTAGTGCAAAAGCCTTGAGATCACCAACCGCGGGGGGGGCGAGTACATGAAAAGTTTGTTGGGTTTAGAAGGGCTTGGAGGTTTAAGTTTAGTGAGTTTGGGGTGGGGTGGGCTTGTAAACAACAACAAAACATGTATGTCTGCGACAACGGGGACATGGGACCCCTAGAGTCTGCAGAGGGACGCAGGCGGACTGGAACAATTCAGTCTCTGCACCGGGATGCCAGTTGAATGCCTACCGTAGAGTGGAGAGTTTTGGAGATTTGCTTATTTGTTATCAGTGGTTGGACAAACTTAGCAAGTCTCAGGTAAAGATGAAATCACCGAAGAGCCTTGCCTGCACATCAAGATTGACCTCCATGTGCTGCCGGTGCCGTGATGCTCGGGGCTGCCTGGGAGCTCGGAATAAACGTGTAAGCTGCAGATTGGAGAACTTGGAAGAACATGTTCAAGCTGGAGCTTAATTCTCTTCCATTCGGTCACGCCGAAGTTTCGTTGATGCTGGAAGGAAGCGGGTAGTGCGGCTCGCGAATGAAAGCTTGGATGAGCATCTTGTCGCGGGGGGCTCGGGAGAAATGTTGGGCATGTGAACCAGACGCTTCTTGATGGTGTGTAGAAACTGGAAACAGACAGTTCCTGGCACCTTTTTGCTCATTGTGCTCATCTTGACCGTGTGCACCGGCTGTCTATGTTGAGTTGAAGGCTCCATGCGACTCAGCCGGTGAAGCTGAGCAGGAGGCCAGGCATTGTAAGCCAGAGGCAGGCCAGACACCGGTGTGTGAACAATTGTGAACACTCCCTGCACCTCCGGCCGACATCATCCAACTTGAGCCACTAGAAACCTGAGCTGATCAACTTCACGCATAGCTCCAGCCACAATTCCTGCAGCCAGGTACGCAGAAGTCTGAAGGCCCAGCTCAGCTGCCCGTCTGCTTGGCCAAAGGCATGCGCATGCCTTCCAATACCACGCCCCACCACCACCGCTACTAATACCACGACGACGATGACGACTACTGCTGCCAATGCAAATTGCTATCTTCGCGACCGGCATTTGTCCCAGCGCACTGTAGACCAGTTTGATTGAGGTATGACTACTGTGAGCGGCGGGCCTGTTAAAGCATAAGCACAGGGCATGCAACCTGAAGTACACTCACTGACACACTAAGAGCTCACTTGATGTGCAGCTTGAGTAGGGCACCCTTAGCCCCGAACCCACTATGAGAGGACATGATGGTCGATCTCCTTCAAGATGCCTGACATTGGCTTTAGAACTAAGCTCTGAGGCAGGGGAAGTGTACAGAATAGTATAGATAGAATCCACCGGAAAGCAGTTCACCACCACGTATGGTTCATATCAGTAAACATTATCGGATGAACAGCTACTACTAATTACTCTTCCTCCTCCTCCTCCTACTACTACTACTACCACCACTACGACGACTACTACTACGACGGTTGGTGATATACATCCTGCATTACCCATACTGAGTAATATACCATAATTCCCATAGTTTAGGGTTTTTAAGGTAATGCAGGATTTATATCACCAGCAGTCAACAGTACTACACCTAGTCCTGATGATGTTGCCACTGGCAGCTACAGGGTGAGAATCACGAACGTGGCTACTGTCGCCTCGATTCATATGTTGTCTTGTGGAATTTTCCCGGCTTTTTCAGGTATTCACCTGAAGCTGTTGTCTACGTTGAACTCTTTTGTTTACCGCACTGCCAGTTTTCTGGCAGCCCTCTTCTGATATTGGGCAGCAGATAGCGCTCTTTTCAGTCAATAGTCGATCACTTGTTCAAAAAATGGTCAGTAACTAGCAACTAGTAACTAGTAGGAAAAAGGTGACAACAAAGGTGCGGGCTTCTTGGTTGGCGAGCTGAACCCTGCCGACTCTCACGGGGTCTTCGGCGAGTGATCCGAGCTGTTTTGTAGGGCGCCCACAAACTTAGCTGGTGCACGAAGAGACGCAGAGGTACTGGCAGAACTTCGGACCCGGTACCGAGGAGATGCCAAGAGGGAATTCGGGGCCAATCGATGTTGAGCTTGGCATCCGCTTTCCATGAATCGATCATGTTCAATATGCTATATACTTCATATCTTCGTAGCTGTGCCGTCCCGTGTTTCGTTTTTCTTTGAGGCAGCGCAGGCTTTTGTTCCCGGGCCCGATTCGTGTACGCCCGCACACAAGCTTAACTTGCCGTCCTGCGCCTTTCGTTTCCCACATCGGGTTCGCCAGGAGAAGCTTGCTCTGACAACCTGTGGCCTTCTGACTCAGCATCACGACGCCTCCTTACTCTTGCAGGTTGCAGACGTCGGCATCAAGGCTTCTGCCCGTTTTCTTCTGACGTTTTCTGAGGTTGTGAATCCGTCGGTCATGGACAAGAAGAGCTATGTTCAGATGAGCGCTGCTGAGCCTCCCAAGTCTGAGCCGAAGCCGGAGCCAAAGTAGATCAAAGCCATCTACGGCAACGGCCCCAGCAAAGGCAAGCAAGGTTTCGCAAAGCGACTGCTTGAGGATGCTGCGGTTCTCACGGCCAGAAAGTAGACTCGGACTGCGAGTGCTGCGACATTCTTGCAAGCGAGGGAGACGAAGTGCGAGTTTTTTCAGCACGCTCGCGGTCGCGATCAGTTGCGCAAGCGATGCGCGTGAGACGTGTAGCTCAGCAGGTATGTACAGTCCGAAACCAAAGCGGTCGGGCCGTCGACTTCGGATGCTGGGCAGCGGAAAGCGGATTCGATGCGTGGCATTCTGAATCCGACGACTCAGCGGACACGTATTTTGCTTTTCCGCCCTGCAGCTTGGATCAAGCTGTTCCAGGTGTCTGGAGATTCGCCTGATGGCAGCAGAGGAGCAGGCGCAGCAGGCGGAGCGGAATTCCTCGCCGCACCTGGAGGAGACCTCCGTGATCTTCGCTTTCTGTGCTGGACGCGGAGGAAGGTGCGGTTTGGCATTCGTCGACTTCGACGATCCGGAGCGTGTGCTTCGGGTGGCCGACGTGATGGACCCCGAGTTCGCGGAAGTCACAAGACTGAAGGAGCGGATTCTGTGCTGCGCTGAAACCTCTGGCGGCTCTGGGCTGGAGTGCCCTCCGCAGCTTGGCGTTCGTGCCGGGCTCTGCGTTGTCCCATCTCGGTCCCCTCCACAGCTTCTCAGGCGTGCTTTGACCCCTGTCGTAGAGGGTGGGGAGAATTTCCCGACGGCCACACAAAAGGCAGGAGACTTTGACGTGGAAGCCTCAAAGCTGCGCCTGGTAAGCCTCTTCCAGAGCCTTACATCGAAGGAGGCTGGTGCGACCGCGACCCCTTGCCCTGGCCAAACAACACCCTTGGCGACGCTTGACCTGGGCAACGAGCAGCTGGTACGTGCAGCTGGGGGTCTTCTGAAGTTTTTGGAGCAGAACCGCACACTGCTGGGCCAGATCGAGCGACAGTGGCAGCCATGCGTGCAGGATGTGAAGCTGTTTTCACCTGAAGACTCCGTGTTCGTCGACCTACAAACCATGATGGCGTTGCAAGTTGTTAAGGAGCTTTGCAAGGGAACGGCTTGCAACATGAACTGCATGGGCATAGTCTGGTGAAGCATTTGTCATTGTGTCATAGGAGCACCGGCAATCGCTAATGCGACTGGGCAAGCCGCGTGAGGGCTTGTCCCTCCTCGGACTTTTGGAGCCACTGGTGTCTTCAACTTCGGGAAAGGTAATGTTAAGGCGCTGGTTGCACCAGCCGAGCGCCATGGCAGGCAGAGTGCAGTATGAGTGCCGCAACATGTAGATCAAGTCTTTTTGACTGCGCCGTCCTGAAGCAGTAAGGTCGGAACATGCAGGTGCTGACGGCCCGTCACGAGACGGTAGAGCTCGTCACGAGCCTGCTGCGTGGCAGCGGTGCGGAGCTGGCTGCCGCCTCAGAGAGACTCGTTCAGTGTGTCGTTCGATGTGTCGTTCGGTGTCGCAAGAGACATAGCCTAGCGGCCTGAGCAGGTGAGGCAGTTGCACCGGGAGCTTAAGGAGGCCCAACATGAGTCCCTTTTGATTTTACCTTGCGAGGCTTGTGTCTTCTACGAGAGGGCTGCAGGGGTTCAGATGGTTTCTGAAAACCCTTCACTGCATCGCAGTCTTCAAGCATCAGAATGATGCAGTAAGCTGTAGTCTTAGATTCTGCGTCAAGCGGCCACCTTACGCGTCATCATGTCGATTTGCATTGATGTGCATTTGCTGAGTGGCAAGCATGCCTCTGTGGAAGTGGAGACGGATGCATCGGTTGAGTCCTTGAAGCGCCGAGCCCAGAGTGCTCTGGTGGTCCCGAGTAGGGGGCGGCTGCTGAATTCTTCTGGAGAGGTGCTGGATGGAGCACAAACGGTCACAGAAGCGAAGTTGACGAGTGGAGACGCGCTCACCCTGCATGTGAACCAAGTCCAGCTTCAAGCCGCCAAAGGCGGTGACTACGCTGGGTTCGCCGCTCTCTTGGGTCATGGTTCTGTGGCAACCTGGGGTCACTGGGGTGTTCCGACAGCAGTGCCGTCCAGGAGCAGCTGCGAGATGTGCAACAGATCCAGGCTTCTCACTATGCATTCGCCGCAATCCTGGCTGATGGATCTGTGGTCACCTGGGGCAATGGCCGCATTGGTGGCAACTGCAGTGAGGTACAGGATCATCTGCGAAATGTGCAGCAGATCCAAGCTTCTTGTGGCGCATTTGCGGCAATCCGGGGTGATGGATCTGTCGTCACCTGGGGTGATGCGTACTTGGGTGGCGACAGCAGTGCGGTACAGGATCATCTGCGAGATGTGCAGCAGATCCAGAAGCTAGCTTCTGGTCGTGCATTTGCTGCAATCCTGCGCGATGGATCTGTCGTGACTTGGGGTGATGCGGACTTGGGTGGCGACAGCAGTGCGGTACAGGATCAGTTGCGAGATGTGCAACAGATCCAAGCTTCTTACTCGGCATTTGCTGCAATCCTGCGCGATGGATCTGTCGTGACTTGGGGTGATGCCGACTTGGGTGGCGACAGCGGTGCGGTACAGGAGCAGCTGCGAGATGTGCAGCAGATCCAAGCTTCTTATTTGGCATTCGCTGCAATCCTGCGCGATGGATCTGTTGTCACCTGGGGTCAATGTGGTGGCGACAGCAGCGCGGTACAGGATCAGCTGCGAGATGTGCAGCAGATTCAAGCTTCTAGTCAGGCATTTGCTGCAATCCTGGGTGAAGGATCTGTCGTCACCTGGGGCAATGTCTTCGCTGGTGGCGACAGCAGTGCGGTACAGGATCAGCTGCGAGACGTGCAGCAGATCCAGGCTTCTCACCATGCATTCGCCGCAATCCTGGCTGATGGATCTGTGGTCACCTGGGGTGATGCCCGCTTTGGTGGCGACAGCAGTGCGGTACAGGATCATCTGCGAGATGTGCAGCAGATCCAAGCTTCTGGTCATGCATTTGCTGCAATCCTGCGCGATGGATCTGTCGTCACCTGGGGTGATGCCCGCTTTGGTGGCGACAGCAGTGCGGTACAGGATCATCTGCGAAATGTGCAGCAGATCCAAGCTTCTTGTGGCGCATTTGCGGCAATCCGGGGTGATGGATCTGTCGTCACTTGGGGGAATGCCGATTTCGGCGGCGACAGCAGTGCTGTTCAGGATCAGCTGCGTGATGTGTAGCAGATGTTCCCAACGAGAAGTGAGAAGCAGCTAGCTTCCATGGGTTAAGCCCTATAAACCCTAAACCCCTAAACTTGGTCCTAAACCGTAAAGCCTAAAAGGTTGAGGGCCGACCCAAACCCCTCAGCTTATATACCTGCAAGAGCTGAAAGTCTCCATCCCAAGTTTAGTCAGAGAAATCTTTAGCCGGTTAAGCCTTGACCCTAAACCCCAAGTTCGTTCACTAAGTCCTGATTCTTCGTTGGCCCTAAGCCTTGAACCAAACCCTAAACCCTAAAACCTAGAATCCTTAGAGTATGGAGCACCCTGCAGCCGTCATCGGGAGCGCTGCCACAGGGTGGCATACCGTCATGGTATCGCAGCCGTGCCCAAAGGCTACCATTCGTGGGTTTTGCTGTGCAGAGATCCGTGCTCTTTTCGGCTTCTGTGCAGGTCCAGGATGTGCCAGCCCTCCTCACACGCCTGTGTCTCGCGTGCACATAATCACTACGAGTGCATTGCGACGAGATGACGAGATCGTGTTTCTGTCTGAGCTCAGGTACCGCCGTGGCTGGGATGCGCATTGCAGGCAACGGGGTACGCTGGGGGTTTCCAGAGCTTCTGCGAGGCTATCACTTCGACAATGTCAGCGACTGGCGCACTTTGGCGGCGACGCTGAGCCACATGTCCGCCTGCCTGGAGCTCATGGGCCAGGCGAGACCATGCGAGACCCCAAGTGAAGAGAGGACTCCCCCTTTTTTGCAAAAGTCAGGCATCGAAGCTGGGACCCCGAGATGCTGGCGGCTTGTTCCGACAAGGCAAAGAAGACGTTCAGGTTGTTTCTCCACTTCCCTGCTGGTTGAAAGCTGTTTCAGCCCTGAGCGTTTAGAGGAGACGGCCTGGTGGAAGACGTGCGTGCGGCTGAAAGCCTTCTGCAGCGGGTGGTGGACTGGGACGGACACTTCACTGAAGGCTGCGTCGGCGGTGTCCTAGGGGCCCCGCAGTGTGTTCTAGCTTGGGTTGTGCAGGCCATTTCGATGCACACCTGGTCCATGTGCAACGCGGCGTTGACCGGCGCCTAGACGGGCTGAGACAGCAGCATCTGGGTCGATATACTGGGTCTTTCTCTCTTTGGATGGCTCTCAAGTTACACTTCCTCCGGTTAGTTAGGCATAGCGGGACAGCTGACGCATGTTGCGGGGCCTGTGAGAATTCTGAGAGCGGAGTCAGGTATCTCAACATCGAGAGCCATCTGAGCGACTCGGAGGTATCTACGAGTCTACAGCTGGGACCGGTAACTATCGGCCTCCTTGGCATTGAGGACCTGAGTCTCTCATGACCCCATACACCACTGTCCTCAAAAAAGTCGGAGTTTGGATGCAGAGACACATCCAGAGGCAAGGGATTCAAGGCCATTGCAACCTAGAGCAACCAAGGCGACATTGCAAGCGGGCTCCTCGGTCACGGCGGCAAGTCGCTGCAGCGAGCCGTCGTGACGCGGCTGTAATATGAAGGCTGCATGCAGTCTCGAATTTAGACACCTACCCCCAAGTGCGCGAAACGTCGTTGAAGTGAGGACGCCGTCTTGTTTCATTACTTCCCGCAGCGACTTGGCTGCAAGTCAATATGCTTCTGCGGCTGATTTTGACATATTTTGACTTGCCGGTCGCGGCGTGGGGCAGACTGAGGCTGGGCTTCCACGCTTCCCTGCCCAATCCTATTGCGTCCAGTGGAGAAGTAGATGCCGATGGTATGGAGCTCTTGAAGCGTAAAGGATGCATTCCACAGCCGGCGCCTGACTGGAGCTATCAGTTTGCAGGCCCGTGGACTCTGGCATCTTGAGAGGTCTCTGTAGAGACCTGTAGAGTCTTCGCAGCATGTGGACGCCTGCGGTTGAAGGCGGCAGCCGGCTTTTCTACAAGTGCGACATGGCCCGGCGCCTGGACACCGAGATCGGCACCTCGGCCGATAAACCGGAGAGGGCCGACGGATGGGCCTCTGGGCATCAGTTTTGGATTTCAGGCGACTTGGTGGTCCAAGCCCGGGATGCCGAGCTGGAGATCCTGGGGGCGCTCCTGGAGCGGCTCCGCCGGCTGGAGGCGCGGCTCCGGAAGGCCGCGCAGCTCCTGGCGGAGGTGGATGTGATCCAGGCTCCGTAAAGTGACGGTCGCAGTTCGCAGAGCATCGCAGACCCCTGACTCCTCTCCTCTTTTCTTCCCGAGATCTTCGAGTGATCCAGGCCTTCAGCTCGGCCTCGCTGCAGTACAAGTGGACTCGGCCAAGGCTCGCTTCGAAGCCTGGTCTCCTGCACATCGTACGAGGACGGCACCCCCTGGTGGAGGCGCTGAGCTCTCACCACGGCTTCGTCCCGAACAGTACGGAGATTGGCCTCTCCGAAGTCGAACACCGGGTGCAGGTCGTGACTGGTGCGAACTTGTCTGGAAAATCCATCTACTTGAAGCAGGTTGGCCTCATCGCATACATGGCCCACACCGGATGTTATGTCCCGGCAGAGGAGGCGGAGCTGGGCCTTTGTGACTTCATCTTCTCTCGAATACAGAGCTGCGAGAGCGCAACCGCCGGATGCTCCACGTTTACCCTTGATCTTTGCCAGCTATCTCTGGTTCCTTGATGCGAAAGCGCATAGCGCACTCTTCGGATACAGGACACGTTTTTTTGGTTGAAAATTTGTAATTACAGCAGCTTCTTTTGCAGCACTCAGGCCTTGAATCATGCAACTGCATCCTCGCTGGTCCTCATGGATGAATTCGGGAAGGGCACGCGTGCGGCCGATGGTGTGGCGCTTTTGGCTGCCACAGTGGAGTACTTCTGCCGCTGGGTCAATGGCCCAAAGGTGGTAATCACAACCCATTTTACAGAAATCTTTCGCATGGACCTAGTCTCGCAGAGTGAGCCATTCCTGCAGGTGAGCCACTTGCGAGTATTGCC